TCTTGCTGTTGGATTAGTCAGTAATATTAGGGGACTTGCTATGTTTTGTGTTGTTACACTTGCTTGATGTTTGGCTGTGTTAGCAAAGTGAGATTTTGATCATAAATAAACAAATACACGTGTACAGCTGTCCACATTTTACCAGAAAGGTGTATATGAAAGTGTAGGGGCGCCAAAGCCCCAGGGACATATTTCCCACGATGAATGGCGTGCTGCATGCGCTTTCCTAAATGACAAACTGAACAGTGATTTCACTCTTTTCACTTGTCAGGCTGATCAGTCTCATCAAAGGTAAGCCATTTACAGTTTTTGTCTTTGCTGTGTGTTTTTATTATGCTTATGGCACAATCAGCACTGCTGTTTGTGTGACTCTGCAGGAGTAGACATGCTCCTGTGGCTGTGTGACTGCAGCCATCATACCTTTACGGAGTTCAGTCCTATCAAATTACAAACGGCTGTGCAGCGTTTCAGCATCTGATTAGCCTTCAAACTCACCAATCCATTACTCAAACTGGCTTTTCTGGATATGTCATCGACTCGCCTGTACCTGAAACAATGCAGACCGTTGTGTTGTTTTAACAGTGTTGTGTTGTGTCTCTTGTTGGGTTGTAAAAGCTCATCATAGTTCATGTCTGTGGGATTTGTCCCTCACTGCTGTATGCTATGGTTCATGTGTTGCCGAAGCAACCTTAGTCACATGGATTTGCTGTTGTGTGGCACCTTGAGGTCGTGTGTATTATATACAAGGTCATCTAGATTTTATTTGCATCTAACGTAAATACCCCGACCAGTCTGGCATCTGGACCTTAGTGAGAAAGTCAGAATACACTCCGGAGATCCACAGTACATCACATGACAGCATCTACAGTATATGTTTGGGTAAAAAGCTCAATTCTGGCGCAAAATTGCTCCAGCTGTAAGCAATATCCCTAGCCTAGCATCGGCAGACTCTAACTGCCAAGGAGGCGCAGACCAAAATGCCTGTAGATGCAGTAGATTTACAACCAATCAGAGCAACGAAAAGTGTTTAAAAGTTGGACCAGTGTTGAAGCAGAAAAAAACGGCAGCCTGTCACAAACATTTTCAAATTACAGCTAAGCATTACACTAAAATGTGTTTGTGAAAATATTTTAGGCGAGAAATAGGAAACGCAGTAACAGAATCTTGATTAATATTTGATGATCAGCACTGCGTGGCTTTGGATCCAAGTTTGCTGAGCCTCAGTCAGGGTTCCCATTCTTTTTAAGTCGAAATTGAAAAAAAAGAGTTTTTATTGCTGCCAAACGGTCATATAATTTAAACCTACAGACCGGTAGACCTAGTATTGACTCATCTTTTAATATGCAGGGTTCATTATGAAGTGTCTCAGGTTTATTCCAGGTAGGTGGTCAGCGTTACACACAGACCTAACAGAAGAGGTCCGCTCTGTGTGCTGTGAATGTGGCAGCACGCAGCTTTACTGTATCTATCAGAGGCTGCTGAACTGCAGCAGGTTGAAGTTTTAATAGGAAGCCACTGTCATCATTATAACCTCTTGTGAAACCGATGCCCTGTGACACTTGACCAGTTCGGGTGCTCCCTCTCTCTCTTTCAATGACTGCACAGAGTAATGAATTTTTTATCTTAATCCAAACAGTCATTTAATGAGTACGCCTGAGAGGATTCTTGTTCTCCTTAATTAATATACACACACACACACACCTCTTCAGGCTCAGTTACAGCTCATCCTGCTTTACTGGCATGAAGGGTGAAAATCTGAGGACACAACCAGATCGTTTGTGGTTGCAATTTACTTGATTTGATATCTGCATTTCCTTGCCAGTATATACACTATAGTAAAACCGGTATTCAGACACATCTCTATGTATACTAGCAGAGGGAAAACTTTAGCATTCTTCTGCTTCACAGACTTCTTTGGAGAAGTGACAGAAGAATAAGAAAGAAAAAGTTGTTTCCATATATATGTGAAGACAAAGTCAGTAAGAGGTGAAATACATCATTGAATATTTTCATGTCAATTCAACAAACATTAAAACAAGTACAGTAACTAAGTTTCTGTAACCACACTGATGAAAACTGAGCTGTAAAAACGTATGTTGATGCTTGTTTAGTTTTTTTATTTACATTCTCTTTTTTTACCTTTATTCTAAACAGGTAAATAACTTGAGAACAACTTTACAATGACGACTGGCCAAGAGGCAGCAACAGGAGGCAGGTTGATACAACAATTAAAACTTCAAAAACAGCACAATATATACTGTGTACACAACAGACATCTAAGTAGCATGTTCCCGAGAGGAAAAATCCAAAGCAGGTGCAGTGATCAGAAAC